GTGCCAAGATTTTCCAAATAATTGGACAAAAACTTTTAGACGAGATTAAAAAAAAAAAATTTGGACATCACGTTGAAAATTTTTAGCTTATTTTAGAATTATTAAAAATTTCCTACGAAAAGTATATAAATTTGTTATTTACATAAAAATCTGTAAATTTGCAGGGCATCAACTTTCCAATGACGTGACAATTAATCATACGTTACCATCGTCTACATCAGTGTTTCCCAAACTTATGACTTTTGAGTACCCTTTCTAAACTTTTCGTAACGCTGTGTACCACTATTAAAAAAATGAATGTATTTTTTACTATAAAAATATTGCAAAAAATTTTAGAATCACAACTGGTTGTTGACACCATTCATTATTAACTGTTAACTCTGCAAAAAATAGCCAATCGAAAAATACGTAATCGTAAATTTTCATGGCTAACTTTGTTGTTAAATAAAAATCGTTTGAAATTTTCGTTTGTTCGTAAGATGTTTCGTATAAGAACGCGTACCCCCGCTAAACTGTTCCCGTACCAGAGGGGGTACGCATCCACACTTTGGAAAACACTGGTCTTCATCATCCCTGCTGAAATTCACAGCAACATAATGGTTTTAAAGCTTATTGCACACGTATTCTAGAATATCACAATATGTTTCTGAATGATTTTATGAAACGAAAACTAGCCTTTTGTTTTCTCATTATGGAAAACGTTTTCAGTTTATATAAAGTCCATTTCTTGCGTTAAATTTACAACATAAATTTACATTTATAACGACGGAATCAATACTTAGAATATTGTTAAAAGATCTTTACTAGAGGAGATTTAAGTTTGATAATACAGTAAAAAATTATTTTAAATGGGGTCGACAGACATAATGTGCACTTAGGTAAATGGAACAAAAAAATAACGTTTCTGAAAAAGAATTAATAAAAAAAAAATAACCAGATGTTTACTAGCATGAAGCAAAAATGTGTACTTACTTCTTCAGATTTGCTTATTAAAGTAAAAGAAAGCAGCAACCATATTAGATAATAATTTCAGCAGCAGTCAGTCAACACTTGCAATCTAGAGATATCTTGATAAACAATACTTCATTTCCTTGAAAGTCTGTGAGTAGTCTCGAGTAACTCCTGCTTTCGTAAAATAATAGCTGAATTCTTATAGTAGGTGGATGAATCATTTGAGACTGCGGTTTCTTCTTACTTCTCATTGCATAATTTTTTTTAGTTTCCTTTGCATAATAGCTTTTGAATACTTTAGATTCCAATTACAGCTTTGCCGTAAAATGGCTTAATGTGAAGAGATTTTTACGATTGAAGAATAAAATAAGATCTGTCGTTTTCGTTGCGCGCGTTTTTTTAAAATTAATAAACTTTTAATGATGTTGCTAAAAACTAATATGTTTGCGTCTCTTTATTTATTAAAAGCGCCGTTTATTTCATCATTCTTTGTGAAATGCGGCCACTTTGACCTACATCCATAATGAATTTCGCCAAAAAAGATTTTAGTTCAAAAAGATTTGAATAGTTGCTTATAAAAATGCCACAAAAAATAACCAAGCATTTTATTAACTAGTCTAGTTAATTATCTAGTAAGTCAAGTAACACAGCAAATTATTCAGTGGTCGATAAAAGTTGAAATATTCTGCTCTTCAAAAGAATAAACCCCACAGTTCCTTGCCTCGGTCTTTTAAAATTGTTTGCCTTGTATGGCAATTGCACATTGGTAATTATAAAAAGCTTATACCAGCTCACCAAAGATTCATGTGCATACTGCAAAAAATTCCAGATCAAATTATAGTATTAAGTACTGGCATTTTGTTCTTCATCATCCGTAAAATTGATTTTACTGCAAAATCAGTTTTTTTTACCGTAAAATATTACACTGTACAGTATTAAATTTTTGCAATTATTACTATAAAAATTACGCTATATCAGATTCTTTGTTCCGTAACCTGTTTTTGTAAAAATGACCGTAATATGTTGCTCTAAAAAGTACTGCAACCTGAGTGCCGGCACTTTTACAGTAATTTGATCCGGAATTTTTTGTATGTCTTCTGTGTAACCAGAGTGATATTGATAGTGACCATCTCAATAATTCTATATTGTTTTTAAGTTTATTATATAAGGTTAAGTATTAAGTTTACTCTATAAGGGCTAATTCTTACACCGCTTTTATTTTCTCCTACATCATTTCATTGGCTTACGAGCCGGATAATGGTTAGTATTACCACAGAAAGACATGGGATTAAAAACAAAAACTTTTTCTTCAAGAATGTAAATACTTTGTAATAAAATGCGTCGCATTATTCTTAGCGATGCATCAATTACAGATGTCCGATGAAATATTTATATGGATTTGGAAGATAAGTATATTTTCTTCAAGGAACTCTTCAAGTAAAGTATTTCTTCAAAGTAACATATATTCAAGTTAAGAAAATGTATATTTCAGATTTAATTCAATTAATATTAAAAAAGGAACATTTAACAAAATTAATAAGTACGTCAAAAACGTTTTCTGCAGTATTACGAATTTTGAAATTACTAATGAATGCTGATTTAATTTTTGAACAAGACTGTATTTAAATGAAATTCTATAAAAAATAATTGAAAAATCGAGTACACAGTACACTATTTGCAAGATAAGAATTTAACTGACATAAATAGTGTGCAAAAACACAAAAAACAGAGCATTTTTCAAAATATGAACTAAATTTAAATAAGCATATGTGGAAAGATATTTTTATTTATATAATTGAAAATGAAAGTAGAAAACACCTAAGTGATTAACAGTTTTATTCTCATTTTCTTGTTTATCAATAAATTATGACATAAAAGATGACATTGCGTGTTACTATAACATAAAAGTTAAATGTACTTTCCATACTAATACAATATATTTGCTGATTTTAACGTAAGCTCAAACTACTTACTGTTATTTTAGTTTCAGAAAATATTCTTTACATTGGTAGCAAAAATTATGCATTAATATTTTACTAGATTAGAATTGAAAGAATTATCTCCATCACTACAAAGAAAAATTTTAAACAATTACATAAAATATTAGATAGATTCTAAATCGTGTTCTATTTTAAGATTAATGAGATATAGGCCGTTTCCTGGTCTCTGATGCCCATATTTATATATGAATCTTAGTTCTAGTCTAAATTATGTTCTTATGTCTAATAAAAGTTTTATCAAAATTGCATTTTTTAAAAAAAAAAAAATGCTTTCATTTAATACCACCGAAAAAAACTATTTTGCAAAAACCTGAAATGAAAAAAGAACTTGTGTAGAAACAAATACAATTTTGTTTTATACAGGGTTCCACTATCACCTCTCTCACTGTGTATTTTTTTGTAATTTTGACAAAAATAAAGTTAAAAAAGTACACACATTTGGAGGTTGCTAGTTCAAGAATAGACTCAAGCCAGAAATAAAAACACTATCTAAATCTGTCGAATCACAAGAGAGGAAGGTGGTATGAAAAATACCAAAACTAGTTTGATTATATAATGAAACTTGTGGGTGTTTGAAATAATCTTGTTTTTCGACTTCTTTATATTTCCTCAGACAATCAAACATGCTTTGATACGTTCAGTCTCACATTCCTCATTAGTTACTTGGAACATTCATCAAGCAATATTGATTTTTCACCCTAAAATATTAATTTGTGTTCTTTTATCAGCATAATTTTTTACTTCATATTCGGCAAGCATTCTAAAAATATTTGTTAAGATCGGTTATTACAGAATACCTTGTATATAAAATGCAAATTGATACAAAATTATTAAAATGTTTTTCGTCAATAATATATACAGTAATAGTGTGTTATTATCATCAAGAATATTAAAATTGTGCGTACCTATTCTAAAGCCTTAAATGAAATTGGTTTAGGTTTTATCAATTATTGGTTTAATAATTGGTTTAATCAACTATTGGTTTAATAATTGAAGAACTTAGAATAACCAGGTAAGTCACATTTCCAAATTGGCCAAAATCAGGGTAAGTAGAAAATAAGTGGTACCCGAAGTACTTTATGAATCTTTATTAATAGGCAGGGTTTATACATCTGCACCCTATTTTATTTGCCTCTATCTAATTTGAAATAAAAATTATACAAGAATACTCAAAACTAATGTATTATTTCGTCAAAACTGAAAACTAATGTATGTCCCATTCAAAACTAATAGAATATATATTAGTTATGCTAAGAATTAAAGTAAAAGCAGAAACAATTCTGTTACATTAAACGTATTTATATTTTTATGCAGTCACTTAATATTATGTTTCCCGATTCATAAGTATCCCTGAAAATGTCACTTACTTGCTTCGCCCACTATGCTCTTCCCCATTTAGCACAAAACTTTACAAAATCAGTAAATACTTTTTCGAAACGTGACAACTCATTATTGTTTTATTTCCCTTTTTCTGTCATTTCCTCTGTAGGTGTGGGAATTTGACACACTTTATAAGTAGACTTGTGAACGCATGACTGTCTGCCTGTTGTAGGCGACGTTGTTCTACCTAATTAGTCTCAGAAAAACACAACTATTGCTGTTTAATTATGTTTGTCTATGTACCTGTTGCTTTTCTGGTTTTGCTGAAACATACAGGAAATGGACAAAACTATTAAGCACTTCTATATTGATTTTTTTAAAACAGAATATTCTCTTAAAGCAACATTAAAAGAAAATTGTTTACATCGGAACTCTTAGCATACTTTCAGAGATAATTAAAACTTTGAAATAGTACAATTTGCTTCGGTATAAAACCTGTACCAACTAATTTAATCTGAAAAGTTCTTTGAATAAAAACCATTGCATAAGTACTAATTTTAATAAAAAATTAATCATAACTAGATTTTCACATAAATATCAACATAGAGTTTGCATTATATGTATATTAATTGTAAAAAATTGCTTATTTGCACCAAAAATAAAATTTCTTAAAATTGTTATTCTTGAAAAAACGAACTGAAACTTTAAACTTCGTCCTCTAAGCATAGTTAGCAAAACTTTAGCATGAGTATATATTTATACAATGATGTTCAATTGATTGTTGATGATGGATGATGCTCTGTTTATCTTTCAAACTTTTCAAAGAGTTTGCAAAAACTTATAAAATAAATTATTATCGTCAATTAAAGCAAATGAACTCGTGTTAACTATTTTTAAAGTTATATTGACTATAATATGCTCATTTTTCATTTTTGGGGAATCTATAGAAGTAATTATTGAACAAAAACTTTTCAAGTTACCGAAAATCCTGTCTAATTCCAGAGCAGTAGTAAACGTTAAATGATTTTTATAAAGTCCACTGATTGCGTAGATACAAATGGGCTCTCTATCATACATTCCTTGAGATCCTAGATATCCAAGAATACATTGAAAGTACAAGTATAGGTGTTGTTTGGATATTTAGGATAGTCAGGATATAAGTAGATGGGTGTTCCAGGTTTTTTTGAAGTTTGATTAAATAAGTTCATTTTCCATTTTTTGTGGGATCTTCAGAAGTATTTATTGAACAGGGGCTTTTCCAACCACCAAAGACTTTATCTAATTCCAGAGCTGTAGCTAGTGTTAAATGATCCTTATAATGTCCACTAATTGCCTGAATACCAACGGGTACTCCATCATACATTCCAGTTGGTATCTGTGATCCTGGATATCCTAGGATATTGAAGATACAAGTATAGGCAATGTTTGGATACTTAGGAATAGTCATGAGATAATGGGGTGGGGGTTCCGGGTGCGTAGGCAACAATAAAATGGCATCTTCTTCAAATATTTCTTGAAATTTGCGTTCAATTCCTTGGTAGGCCTTTAAGCATCTGTAGTAAAAATTGTCTTTGTTTCTTCTTTCAACCATGGCACAATATAGAACGGGTAAGGTATGCTTGCACTGTCGAAAGCAGCTTTTTGCAAATTCCCACCATAAATTGACTTTACCACTCTCTCCCGCTAAGTAACCCTTGAAGGAGGGGCAACCCCTTTCCAGAAGTTTGCGTTCCCAAATAGGAAAGGCATACTTTAGCTCCTTCATTTGCAACTTTATAGGTTTCACACTATAACATGTTTCAAAGTGCTTCAGTGCCTGCAAAATAAAATGGAACAAATTACAATATAATTAACTAAGAGACGGTTATGAAAAATTGAGATTTCTCGTGAATAATGTGATTTAGAAATTTTGCAAGCATCAGTAGATGAAGGTGCGACTTGGCAGTCTTTGAATTGTTTTCATAGTGGATAAAGCTTCAAGTGTTTGCAAAAAAATAGTAGGCGAAAATCTCAGAAAGCTCTGCTTTGGCAAATTAAATATTAAAATAAAAAAATTAAAATACCATAATTTCGATCACTTTGACGCGAACATTTGAAATACGTGTTATACATTTTGCTAATTACGTATACACTTTGCAAATTAAAAAGTTGCGTACTTAGATATAAATGAAGGTATAATATTTATAAATTGCTTACAATTTTCATAACAGTGTATCCATTAAACAACTTTAAATTTAAAGAATAGGTTGGATTGATTTATTTCAACTTTCTCTCTAAATATTTGAATTCAATTTGTATAAAATTTACAGATTTATAAAATGTTGTGTAACGCAGATGAGAATTAAAAAAAAAACGATTGTTTATGCAAAACATATACAAACTAAACTCAGTACTGCGATAACCGATGAGCTACTTTTTCCAGTATATTTTTTTCAGTTTACTACTGAGAATGAAAGGAAAGAATGTTTTTACTTTGACGACGACTGATGTTATATTTGGCACAGTTCTTCTTGAATAGAAATAGCTTGTTTGTTCATAATCAAAAAGTCAAAAATACATTATTATAATTTTGGAAAATTTCAGCTAACGCAAATGCTGTTTAGTTCCATCAAAAAGTTCTCCACGAAGGCAAACTTTCCCCCAGTACTTGATCTAGGAGTCTTCTTGGTTGTCCTTGTCTTCTGGATTGGGTTCAAAATTACACGGCTACGGAGTTGAACATTAGTAGTCGAAAACCCAAAATATTGGGTCGACTGTTCAACGACGAAATAAGAAGGTTAATCCCAAAAGTAAGTTAATGAATTGTCATAATTGAATATTTATTGTATCAGAATACAAACCATTTTCATTCTTTCTTTCATCACAGGCATGGATTTATTTAGCAATCCCGGAATATCTTCTAGGTAATACAGTTTAATGTCACAGAAATTTACCTGAAAGTAAAGAATTGTATATAAGCTGCTGCTTAATCAAAACAATTATGTTTGTTGTTGAAAAATTATTTTTCGTTTAAAGTTCAAAGTTTTAATAATTTTCAAAGAATTAAGAAAAAATCAAATGTCATTACAACTCAACAAGTTCTCAATAGTAATTAAGTAAAACTAGGAGACCATAGGTACCATAGGCTTTAAAAAAAAGACACGATTATTTGTATTTTTATATCTACTTGTCCTTTATTTCGTTCTATCTATATTTTTAATTTCTTATTGCTGCGCCATCTGTTAACCAAAGTGCAAAAAACTGTAAGGATGATTTTCGCTATTTTTTGTTGTTGTTGTTTTTTTTTATTTTTATGGAGAATCCATATTTGTAATAAAAAAGGGTTTCTAGTAAAGATTTTGAAGTTACTCTTACCATTTTTGGAGTTCAATCTGAGGAGAATAAATAATTAGTATTTTTAATAGTGCTTAATTTTTTTTCTTGCTAAATTACTTTGTTTAGTTTTCAAACGGTCTCAATAGGTAAAATAAAAATATTTAATAAATGACCACAAAAACTCCAAATTACCAGTTGACCATGATTTGTTTTTCCTTGAGCTACAGTATGAACTGGATGCTAGATGGCAGCTGTCTCACATAAAACTTTTGAAGAAAAGGATGACTTAAAATAGTTTTAATTAAAAAAAAAATGTTGTCGTCAGGTTAGATTGCATTTTTAAAATCTAAATAAAACATGAGACATTACTGACTGTGTTTAGGAGAAAGTTGAAAAATACTTTGAAGTTGTTGTTTTATTTATTTTCTATTGTTTACAAAAATGTTTTTCTTCAGGTATAAATAACTTAGTATATCACGCATTAATTTCTTGTGAAATAAATGGTTTCTTACCTTGGAATCCCAAGGAATTCTTTTATCATTTCCTGAAAGAATTCGAGTTGTTAGAGGAAGATCTTGTACATATCTGCACATTGGACCGGTGCATATAAAATCTGTTACTTCATCTTCTACCTCTGGTTCACAAGGGAAACTCCCATAATTTGAAATAAGCACTGTAAAAGACAAAAAATGCAATTTTGTCACTAAACGCGATTAATAAAATATTTTAAAGATTTAATACCTTTTTTTTATAAGACAGAATGATTTTCTAAGCATCTACCTTGTTTTATATTATCCTGATCTTTATGATAAAAATTAATTATAATAAAAATCCAATGATTTATACAGCATAAGGTTAACACTGAGTATTAGTTGTCTAAAAAATTAAACACTTAAGACAGTTGGAATTTCTGAACATTCGAAAGAGATTTGTCACAACCACGTATCTGTCAACTTTTTCTCTATTCAAATATGATTTTTTCAAGTGGTAGGGAAGTGACAATCAAACTAACATAATAATAATTAACCCTTTGAGATGGTTTCAGCGTTGCCTGTGTTGCAACACATGTCTCAAAATGTTACAAACCTCAAGAAATGCAAAACTATTTGCTTCTAAAGCTATAATTATTATTTAAGCATCAAAGAAGTAAATTATGCCTCGTCAGTAATTTCACTGCTGGAGATCACAGCTGCTATTCTGTTGCCTGGGTAAAAGTTGCAACCAAAATTTGCTGCTTCGCAAATGGTTAATTTGAATTTAGTTCCACTATTCAGTTCTTCTATTCTTCGAGGGAGGGTTCTGTAATGACATGCTATGGAATTCAATCTGACATGCTATGGAATTCAGAAATTAAATTATGTTGTCATACTTAAGTATTATGATCTAACAATGCTTCAATCTATTTTATTTGCCATTGCCTAGTTTAAAATAATTTTTTTACAGTGTACATTCAAACCTAAAACCGTAATTATACTAAAAGCAAAATTTTTGATACTATGAACTTAATATTTTTCCTCTTGACCCCACCAGAGGAATTGACAAAGCTCTCAGTAGTCTGTCAGAAAAATTCAAGAATTAGTAAACTAATAATTAAAGTTAATTAAAAGTTACCTGATTTTGCTTACCACATTCTCACTTTTGACAAAACTCTCATTAGTCCGCCAGAAATATTAAAGCAATAGTAAACTAATCATCAAAGCTATGGAAAATTTCTCTTATTTTGCTACCATATTTTTCCTCCTGACAAAGCTCTCAGTAGCCTGCCAGAAATATTCAAGCAGTAATAAATTAATTATCAAAGTTAGGGGAAATTTATCTGATTTTGTTGCCATATTTTTCCTCCTGACAAAGCTCTCAGTAGCCCGCCAGAAATATTCAAGCAGTAGTAAACTAATCATCAAAGTTAGGAAACATTTCTCTAATTTTGCTACTATATTTTCCCTCCTCTCAAAGTTCTCAGTTGTCCCCCTGCAATATTCAAGCAGTAGTAAACTAATCATCAAAGTTAGGAAACATTTCTCTAATTTTGCTACTATATTTTCCCTCCTCACAAAGTTCTCAGTTGTCCCCCTGTAATATTCAAGCAGTAGTAAACTAATCATCAAAGTTAGGGAAAATTTCTTTGATTTTGTTATCATATTTTTTTTCCTGACAAAGCTCTCAGTTGTCCGCCTGCAACAGTTGTAAACTAATCATCAAAGTTAAGGAAAGTTTCACGAATTTTGCTATCCTCCTGACCGGAAAAAGCGTCTCAATTACCGGTCAAAATTATTCAAGTAATAGTAAACTAATATTCAAAGCTAGTGGGAATTTGCCTGATTTCACAATTACATTTTCTCTACTGACGAAGTTCCCCAATTATCAGTCAAAAATATTCAAACAATAGCGAAGATCAAAGCCAAAGGGAATATCATTGATTTTACAACCGATTAAATTTAAATATGTTTCATCTTTCTGAAACATCATCATCTTCTATATACGTATTTTCGTTATCAAATCATTGTTGTAATCAAAAACGTTTCATGATAAATTTTTAAAATTTAAAAGTACATTCTATAATTCAGAATTTTTGACCACTTATTAATAATTTTGGAGGACTAGCGGACTAATTGGGGTCCTAATGCAACTGGGTCCCTAAATAACAGCCACCAAATAGGCTGCTCACCTTAAAGTTCTACCACAAATATAAAGAAACATGATGGGTGGGATAGGGGTCGCTGAGGGGCCCAGGTGCCCAGCTCAAATATCAAAACAAGGACTCGGTTCCTAAAGCATTCCCCAAAGGACTTTTGTATTGCTATATTTCATATTCATTCATTTTATTGTATTTTATGAAAGCAGTGATCGTAGCGTCCTATTAAAAATAAAATATGGTATGAAAATTACGACATTATGAGTCTATTTTTTTTGGATGAAACGAGATTTTTAAACTATTAAATTATAAAATTATTAAAATTTATTAATATTCAGTTCTACAACTGAAATCATTGTTATTTGTAAAATAATCCTTTATAATTGTGTTGGAAGTATATTTCCAGTCAACTTTATTAATTTTTAAATGTCGATAGGAAGGTATTTTCCCACCTATGCATTGCGCCACTATCTGATAATAACTCCAGAAGAAAAGCCAAATAAATAAATAAATAAATAAATACAGGGCTTTTTTGTATTAATTATATTTATTGGTAAAAATAAAGGTTAGCATGAGTTGAAGTAGAGAGGCCGATGCTGAGAGCTATTTTTTTTCTGTGCGTTACTGCATTTGCTCATTTGATAGCTGCTCATCGAGTTTACTTGTATGAATGCAGAATTTATAAATTCAGTTATTTATAAGCATATGAGTTCAAATTAATGGCCAATTCTTTACAGTATGTTAACTTTTGAAAATCTCATAAAAAATAAATAAATAAATGATCTCAAAAATCATTTTAATTTTAGGCAATGAGAAAATAGAGTTTATTTTTATAAATAAATCTAAATCTCTGAAATAGTTTAGAATAACATTACTAGAGAAAAAAAAAGAACCAATTTTGGTTAAAAGTGAAATCTAAATATGAGTTATTTATTAGTCTTGAATTAAATTTTTTAAAAAAATGTTGGTTAGTTAAAATGAATTAGTAAGTTTGCACTTTTTAAAATTTTTTTATAGATTGGTGCGATTATTGCATGAAAAACATACTTTTACTAGGTTTATGGCCATAAATTCCACAGAAAGAAGCCGGGATTCTGATACTGCCTGCTACATCATTTCCGATTCCTATTACTGCCGCACCCGAAGTGATTATAGCTCCTTCTCCACCTACAATAAAAAAAAATTTAATGAGTAACATCAGTCAACATGTTTAAATTTCATATTTTTTTCCTTCTGTTCAAAAATGTAACATTTTAGCATTACCAGAACTACCACCAACTGTTCTTGCACTATCATATGGATTTTTCACCATACCAAAGATGAGATTTGCACTTTCCCACCACATACAAATTTCTGGCACATTTGTTACCGTCACTGGGATGGCTCCAGCTTTCCTGTACAATGCAGCGACAGCAGAATCTTCTTCAGCTATGTGGTCTTTTGCAAGTACTATACCGCATGTCTGGACCATACCTGGAAATAGATTATGTTTATGTTATTATGTAATTGTCTTGTTATTATAAGTAAAATAATGCTTTTGTTTACTTTAAGGAGTCAAATTAGGTGTCACAAAGTCAATATGGGGACTTTGGGACACAATTTTTTTTCTCCATTTGAAATAAAGTTTTACGTACCACATTAAGAAAGAACTGTGCAGGAATATGTTGTAAAATTCTCAGTAATCTATATTACAATTTAAAAGAGATAATTAATAAAAAGAACAAGTATCTCGAAACCCCTTTATTATACGGTACAAGATATGGATCATGAATTAATATTTAAGAGAATAAGAAGAAAAATTACATCTAATGAATCACTACTAAGGCCGACAAGATGGAAAATATAAAAACTTTTGTAATTGGTGGAGGAAACCAGTATTCAAAGGGATATTATTCAAAACAACGCTCAAGCTATATATTTGAACAAAATTATGGCAACATTCATACACTAACTCAATGTAAAGAGACTTTCGTTTGGCTTGCAATTGTTTCGGAAAGTTTTAGATTGGAAAACTGTAAGTACAAATTGAAAAATCGCGCTGGAAGCTTTCAAAAATGATGCCCCTTTACTCATGCAAAATTTGGATCGATCGAAATAAGAAGTCAGTAACTTCTTTTAAGCTTTAATACCTGTAATTTTGATCAGTTTATAGGATTGAAATATATATGTTACCGGCAAAGTATGAAATGCGGCATTGCATAGAATGCCTAAAATTAGCCGGCGAAGTATGAAATGATTTATATTTCACACATTGCTCATTTGGCATTCTATAGAATGCCAAATGAGAAACCGGCAAAGTATAAAATACATCTCCGATTCGTCAAAATGTCATTCAAAAATGACAAATTCAAAACGTCATCTGATTCGATATTAATTTATTCGTGGAAATAATTACATTTATTCACATTTTACACTTAATTACATTTGCCCGGTATACCTTACACTGATGTTTTTTTAAGGTCAAGTGCCATTGCCCGGTATACCCTACACTGATGTTTTTTTAAGGTCCATTGCCTGGTATACATTTGCCCGGTATACCCTACACTGATGTTTTTTTAAGGTCAAGGGTCATTTCCCGGTGTACATTTGCCCAATACTCCAAACACTGATGTTTCTTCTAATCTGTCGTCAGTAAGGATTAAAATATCGAATAAATGTATTTATATCCACGAATAAATTAATATCAAATCGGATGTAATAAATATTTCCGACATTCACCAAAGCGACTATGTGATTGTCTACATTCACCAAAGCGACTATGTGATTGTCTACATTCACCGGTGAAAGTCAATAACCGACGATTTCGATCATTCACACATTTACATAGTAACCTCATCAGGACGTTCATTTCATACTTTGCCTAAATAGCATTTGGAATTCTATAGAATGCCTTGGGAAAGTATGTAATAATTCTCACATTTCATACTTTGCTTAAAAACGTCCGGCATTCTATACAATGCCTAGGTATTCTATACAATGCCGGCATTTCATACTTTGCCGGTAACATATATATTAGAATGCTTTTTTGATTATGGTGGTATTAAAAACGAAAAGCAGCTTTTAACTTCGCACGTTCATAATGCTCGACGCAAATTTTGCAAGAATAAAAAAGACGCCATTTCTAAGAGTTTCAAGAACGATCTTACAAATTGTGCCAACAGTTTTGATGTTTAGTATAGAAGTGTTTCCACTTCAAAAGAGAGATTAAAAATACCATTTACCTTTTACTCCAATAGCTTCTTTACATGTGAAAGGAACTCCAAGAAGTGGCGTATCTTTTTCAATCTCATCAACAGATTTATTACTGCTGTTCAGAAATCGATCTACTGCTCTGGCGTCTTCCAATGCATCTTCGTATCTCTCATCACAGGCCGCATTAATAACTGGATGCACTTCTTTTGATCTCTCTACATAAGCCTTCATTACGTCTTCACATTTAACCTGCAATTATGAATAAACCGAATAATTTAAAGATCTTCTTGTTTTTGGATTGTTTAACTCTTTGCATGCATTGCTATCACTCCAAAATATTTCATGCTATCTAAACTTATATAAACATTAAATCATTTAGAATATATAGTATACAGTGATACCAACTTGCTCAGGATAGAGGATAAATATTTTCGAGTGGTAGTCTTTTAATGCATGATTCTTGGTTTGAATTCGATTTATAGGGATTTTACTCAACACTACTTCTAAATAATTCAAAGATATAAGTGATTTGTCACTCGGTTACTGTTAAGCCGTGTTCATCTTTTGAAAAACTTGGCAAAATTAACCGAAAATGTGCAACTTTTACTTTGCTGTTCTCTACTGTTTATTAAAATATTTTGCCGAATCCGAGCCGTTGGCATCTCTGAGCATAAAATTTTTTTATGTAATAAACAACAACCATAAAGGAGTTTTATTTTTTGGTTGATTAAAAACAACAACCAAAAGAAGAGAGTTTTGAAGTTTTGAGAGAGAGAAGAAAAAAAAAATTAGTGTAAGAAAGAAAGTTCTTACAGCGTTAAATCGCATGATATGGGAGGCCGAATTTGATTTCCAAAAGATAAAATTGCACAATCAGGTGAGAATTCTATATAACTCGAAAAAGAGAGCAATGTTTTTTCTTGTAGCGCTTAATATTTAATAACCCCGAATGGGTAACTGTCCCGTTGTTTTCCTTTTTATGGTTGATTAAATTTATTGGCAAAGGTAACTTAAAATTTGCTTGAATCTTTGAACAAGTTTTGGTACTTTTCATTTAGCCAGGAGCAAAGGAAATTCAACAATTTATTAAATTTAATTTCAATTTTTATTTTAATTCAATTTTTACGTGTTAAAAAATAAATTAAAAAAAATACATCCACCGAAAGTCTGCATATTTTGGCGGCTTTTTGCTAATTGAAAACTACCCAACTTCTTTTCAGTCCCTAGAAAGAATGTATAAAATATCTATAAATATCGGAAAATAATAGTAATAAAAATAATAAAGGAAAACGTAATACTCTATGTTCTAAAATAAGATTATATTAAATACCAGATTAACCTACTCTGTAATAAATGTAGAAGAAAAAAATCGGAGCAATATTTACTTGTTTCTTTCGTATCTTTTCAGCAAGTTCCGTTGCTGAACAGAGTAATAATGGATTTGTAATGGGTGGTAATGGCTTTGTAGGACCCATGACTAAATGGTAAAAGAAAGATAGAATCTTATCGGAAAAAGGTCGGGTGAGTGTCAATAAAATCCGAATAAATTCTGCGATCATTCCTACCACCTAAAATTAAAAGAAAAGATTATAGATGAGTGTAATCCCTGTAATCTTAACCTTTTAAAATATAGAAAAGATAAAAACTACAGACCAATAGCTGCACATTTCACCTCCCTGACGCCACATATCATAACTATCAAAACAAATAACTACATCAACCCTTTTGAAAATAACTCCTTATGCTGATACAACTCTGAACAATTTCAACCTTAAACAAATATAGTTTAGAGAAATCTGCTTATTTTACTTTTGATTCCTCTTTAGTTATTCAAGCAAAGTGCTTGAAGCATTCACAAAAGCAGCCCCACTGCCTGTTTACCTCAATTTTCAACCAAAATGGTGATAAAGTTCCACGATGAATGGGATAGGAGCGGGGCTGCTTCACAGTCCAGGTGCCCAGTAAAATTAAAACACTAGGACTAGGACTTAAAAATTTATATGAAATAAGTTTCTAACATGTTCACGACCGGTCGAATATAGGTGGTTACACTTTATCTCTCATGGAAGACAGCTAATCTATAAAGGTAAAATCAAAGTCAAATGTTCTTATTTTAGCAACCGTTTTAGTTTTTAAATTTTATAGAAGTTCATTTTAATAAATAATATGTTATTGTCTTGAGAAAACATCATGTTTCAGCAAAAATAATTAAAGATAATATGCATTCTGTTACCACTCGATCGGCCTTTTCGACGCTAAGTGCAGGGAAGAATTTCGTCTCGGTATATAGCGTGATCGGCAAAGAAACGGGTAAAAGAACAAACATGCTTATGAAAAATAAATAAATAAAGATAAATAAATTTTAAAAAAATAATAGTTATATACCAATTTTACGGATTTATTTAATAATAGGAGAAAAGCTTTAGAAATGCGTTTTCGTATGAAATGATAGCTAAAACTATTCTAAGTTAAATTTACGAATCTAAAAATGAAACAGAAAAACAAAAGTTTTGCTATCACAGTTTAAAAATAAACTCTTTGTTTTAAAAATAAAAATTAAATTTAGCAGCTATGGACAAGACATCATGAAATCAAAAATAAGACTTAATATTTCTAACAAGTGTTTGAGTTTTTAAAATTAACAATTATTTTCAATTATTTTAATTCCAATGAAGATAACCCCAGAGGTCAGGCACTCCTTAAATAATGTATCAGTCAGTGTGCGAAAATATCACATTAATAACAGAAAAAATGAGATGACAATATTATTTTGATAATGCTTGATATAGACTAGTGATATGATTTATTTAGATGTAGACCAGCAGAAGCTATTAAGTAAAACCAACCCTCAATGACTAATAGATAAAGCTACTTCTCGTAAAGCATCTAGATAGTAAATGGGCTTTTTAACAGAATTAACGAAATTAAAAGATTTTATTTCTCAGTTTAACCAGAGCATTATGATTATCAGAGATTCATCTTAACAAACAGCATCCCATTAAAGTTGCCAACTATAGAACTTATGGATGTGTCAGGATATCGATAACTTCAGAGGTGGCAGAGTTGCCCATCTGGCTAAAATAGTCTCATGACTACCGAATATAATAAATCATATCAAATCGGATTAAATCTCTATTTTCTTAACCAGCATTTACAGAGCTGCGATTTCTCAGGGGATTGGGAGTTAGCCTTCCAATGAGGTGAACCGGGTTCGAATCCCAGCGATGACTGGTCGATACGAATTTCGCATCCGGCTCTCACTGACCACGGTGCTGATGTACAATATCATTAGTGGTAGACGGATCATGGATTAGAGTCCCCTTGCCGTTAGGCTAACCGTGGGAGGTTTTCGTGGTTTTTCTCTCCTATTAACGCAAATGCTGGCTAGTTCCATAAAAAAGTACTCCACGAAGGCAAATTTCTTCCAATACTTGATCCAGGAGTTCCCTTGTCTTCTGGATTAGGTTCACAATTACAAAGCTACGTAGTTGAACATTAGTAGTCGTAAACCCAAAATTGGGTTGGTTGTTCAACAACGGCTTTAAAATTAAAAAAAAAGTCATTCTAGCATTCACAATGGGATGGGAAGGATATTTTTTAAGATTTAATGCACGATATTTATGTGTAAATTCTGAAATATTTTCAAAACTGTGTTATATATCCATGTGTAGTTAAAAGACAACACTTTAGCATATTAAAAGATCAAGATTTTTTTATTATCGAAAAGGTGAATTATTTATCTATTTGTTTATTTTTTAATGTCATTTTAGATTCTTTTTATTCATCGATTTTAATAACAGGAGTTGTTAAATTATAAGTGAATAGGGTTAGATTATATTTTAATTGTCACAGTTGATTTGACTTAAATAATAATGAATTTAAACGAACCAATGACACTCCCGGGCACCAATTTACAATCCTGCGACTTTTAAAGACTTGCTCTCTACTTTGAAAATTTTTCTCTTGGTATTAATGGTCGTGAATACCTGAATCGTGAAAACCTAAGTTTTATTTTAGTTTAATCATGATGAATTGCGATTTGAAAAAGGGACTGCAAATATTTAAAATTTATGTGACGATGAAAGGAAATTTACATGACATCCTTTGTCGTTGACAGGTTTTTGTCATTCTAGTGTAAATTTTTTATAACAACTTTAGTTAAATAATGGAAATTATTAGCTTATAACGACTTTGTTAACATTCCGTTTTAAAATTTAATTGCTCTTCTTGTGTTTCAGAATGTTACTCTTCCGGTTTCTAAATCAACTATAACTATGCTTTTTTATTATCGAAAAATTTAAAGTACGACACTTTTGGAATTCTAAGAGTGTGTTCTTTTTACGAATATAAATAACAGAAAATTAGTATTTTAGTCGAAATTGCTAACATTAACTCACTCTAAAATTATTTGAAGGACTCCTGAAAAAGACTCCAGAAAATAAGACAGAGAATAGTATTACTATAACAGGCTCTTTACTAGTTTAAAATGAATAAATTATTTAAGGGTAAAAAGACGGTAAAACGGTAACGGTAAAAAGTTTTCGGTAAAAAGAACAGTAGGTATTTGATCAAATAATTTTATCCATTAGTAAAAAACACTGAAAAATACAAGTTTTAAATTCAAAATAAGTTGTTTAAAAAAAAAAAGGTGACTACCAATAGGAAAGTGTCACTACCAGGGCTGTTTGTAACCCGGAAAAATAGGTATTGGTAGTAAATTGATAGAAAAACCATTTCATATTTAATTTTTTTCGCTACGATAAATGTTTGTGAAAACCACGACTTATTAATAGTATTTCCCACCTTAGAAAACAGTTTAGTATATTCGTTATAACATTTACCAAGCCTTAGTAGGCAGTTTTTTTTATTTCTTCCAAAAACAAGTTAGATATGAATTAGTTTCCCTTCACTGCGAACTTAATTTCTTTTCCAAGAAAGTAAAGCCCTGATCAAGACATACAGATCAATAGAACAACTATTGGACGAATATTATCAATAGAATAGACATTTAATCAATAGAACAACTATTGGACAAATATTATCAATAGAATAGACATTTAATCAATAGTACAACTATTGGACGAATATTATCAATAGAATATACATTTTATCAATAGAACAACTATTGGACAAATATTATCAATAGAATATGCATTTTATCAATAGAACAACTATTGGACGAATATTATCAACAGAATAGACATGTAATCAATAGAACAACTATTGGACGAATATTATCAACAGAATAGACATTTAATCAATAGAACAACTATTGGACGAATATTATCAATAGAATAGACATTTGATCAATAGAACAACTATTGGATGAATATTATCAATAGAATAGACATTTAATTACTGGAACAACTATTGGACGAATATTATCAATAGAATAGACATTTTATCAGTAGAACAACTACTGGACGAATATTATCAATAGAATACGCATTTTATCAATAGAACAACTATTGAATGATTACGAGCTCTTAAATTTTGGTAAATAGAAAGTAGAATCAAATTTTATCATGTTTAGAATTTATATTGAAATATAACTTACGTTAAAATGGGTATCCATTATTAAATTTCGTGGGTATACACATTCATACAGACCCAGTTTTCACCAAGATTAAAAATAAGACGCAAATTATAATGTTCATTTTTACCACTTAGAAAGACCTCGGTGGTTGTATAACAATATTCAAGGACGCCAACTTATAAGTCCTTCCATATTAATCGATAAACTTAAGGACTCTTTTTATAGTTTAAGGTTCAACTTTCGATATAAACAAGTAATTGGTATTCCAGACTCATTGAAAAATGTATCAACTTTTTCATAAGTATATTTAAATGAGTTAATTTGAATTTTCATTGTGCATAAGTCCTTTGTTATAGATAATGTGAACCGTATAAATTACATTTCCTATTTGTTTTGTATATCAGGGAAAGATGAAAACTACAATAACTCCACTTCAATTACTCCACTTCAGTACTTCAATTCAATTACTCCACTTTAGTAAGCATTTTTAGGAATATTGTATCGTTAGTTTAAGTTATAAGTTATGAATTATAAAAATTTATCGTATTTATCGTACTAAAGGAAAGATTATTTTAAATTAATATTGCATTAGTGATTCAAAACTTTTGTTCCCTATGTTTCCCATAGAATTTTTTTTTGCTTGTAGTTTTTTTAAAAAAAAACTTAAATTTTAGGAATTATTTCTTCTAATAATGTCTTCAATAAAGAATTTTTTTTATTTTTTCGATTTTGCCAAAGTTGTAGTGTTTTTATTTTATTAAAATGGGTCACAAACACAAAACAATATGAATTATTTTTAAAACCATTATTTAAAATATTTATTCACTCACAGAAGAAATAAGTAACCACTTGCTTCCTATGTTTCCCATAGAATTTTTTCTGTTCGTAGCTTTTTAAAAAAAAGCTTAATTTTTAATAATTTTTTTCCTAACAATATATTCAATAAAGAAAAACATTTATTTTTTCCGAAATTGTAGTGTTTTTATTTTATTAAAATAGGTCAGAAAAAAAACATATCAATTCTTTTTAAAACCATTATTTAAAATATTTATTCTCTAATAGAAGAAATAAGTAATCACTTACCCAAACCATCGCATTGCATTTATTTATTGGAGTTCTATTACAGAGCATGTTCAACAAAATTCAACTGTCGTTATCTCGATATTTTCGTTAATTAAAATAGAAAGCTCTTAGTTAATTTGCTGTAAAAGATGTCTGAGATTAACTGTCTTAAGTACGATTGTTTCCTTCATCACCGTCATCTCCTAATAAATGAGGTGGAAGTGAATTGCAGTAACTTAACCTGAAAACCAAGATAATCTGACAGCTCATAAATTTATCATTCGTTGTTTTTTGTTATGGCCATCTTTCCATATATATTTATACGCATGAAAAGTGCATATATATGTGTACTAGCCTGACAACTACTATGATTTTCGTAAAATATTTCATTGAGTAGTAGAAATTTAAAAACCAAAGCCCTCAAAATTTTTGGTAATTTTGCTAACATTTTAAACGCCTCACCATGAAAGAGCTAGAACCAAGTAGCCTCGCAAATTATCTATATATATTTACTGCGCATATATAGAACTCATAATATAAGTTTAAACTATAGAGAAAACATGAAAAATAATGTAATAAAGGTTAATGAAAAGATTAATCTTTATTATATATATATATA